AAATAAATTAAAACTTCATGGACCACACTGCTAAAGAAACTAAAAATTTATTTGAATGATTGTTGAATAATAATCATATACTTTTTTATAATTTTTTTTTTGTTTGTTTACATTAATAAATACATGATATTTTTTTTTGTGGTTGACTCATGATTCTTAAAATTATGATTTTCTTTTTTTTTTAAATTATTAATTTGATAGTTTTATAATAATTTAATAATTTTTTTTATACCATCCATATTTTTTTATTATTTACAATATTATCCTTCTCTTTTAATTTTTTTTAACCCAACACTTCTTATATTCTTTTCTTCTTTTCAAAATATTGTATATATATATATTTATATATAAATATGTATTTATATATTTATATTTTTAATTATATATACATGAATATAATATATTTAATTATATCGATTATATATATATATATATTTAATTATCTATATATTTTATTACATATATCCATAAATTTATACATGTATATGTGTATTTATATATTTAATTATATATAAATATATATATACATTATATTTAAATATATATATATATATGTATTTATATTTTTATTTATATATTTATATAAATCTATATTTAATATTATATTTTTTAAAATTATTTTTTATTACTATATATAATAAAGTATGAACAAAATAAAAAATTTATTCAGATATATAACTATAATATCTTCTCAATACAAATAAATTATTATTCAAATATAATTAAATTTAAATATTAATAAATTTTATACATACTAACTGACATTAATGAAATCTCATATACATCATCTAATCCAATCAAGCTGCCTTTAGAAAATGAGAATGGAGGCAATAATGGAGAATTCTTATAATGCCAACAAGAAGAAAATTAACCAAGAAAATGGAATTTATCATTTTATCCTTTTCTCAGCACATTATTATTGATATGGATTAACCTACATCAACAATAGTTATGCACAAGTTAATTTATAACTTTAAAAGGAAAAAAATCCCGGTTCAGTTGCATAATGATTATCTTCCTCTACTCTTGTATTGTCGTTCTGGGATTTACCATCTTCCATGTCCAATAAATGAATTAATAAAACTTGTAAAATATTGCAATCACAGGAGTTTTTCTATGAAGAAGTCACCCGGGAAAAAACACTGTAACTTAACAAGAAATCACCTAGTACAACAATATTGCATTTCAACGAAGAGATACTGAAGCTTCGGCTTAAACAAGAAACTGGTCAGTCAGCACTAAAAAAGGCCTAAAACTGAAGCTTCTGCAGTCTATGACATTAAACAGCAACAAACAAAACATCGCAGGAAAGAAAACTAGCCACACATCCCGACAACATGGTCATAGAAGAAAATAGATGCAAAGGTGCAGAAACAATAGTCAAAGATTTCTCATCACCAACATAGTAGATGGAAAACCCACTGAAAGACATGACAGATACTTTAACCTAGAATAAATCTGGAAACAAATTTTAAGAGAAAATAACCCAATACTGTTGACAAAAACATTGAAACTTAGTTGTCTTGGTGTGCAAAATCCTTTCAACAGAAATAAGTATCCCAAAACAAAACAGAAACACAAAATACTAAGTTCTCTAAGTTCAACGGTAGCGACATAGAGACAGTGTATTGTTCCTCTTCCAAGTTGCCCTCCTTGAAGGTCTTGCCTTGTGGTGCAAGTGTCCCTTGCCACGGAGGCCTCTGTACTTCTTTCCAGCTGAAGTAAGTCCTCGGAGTTCTCTGTGCTTGTGAACAGGATTGCAGATCCAATTGATCCTTGGATCATTTCGAACTGCATTGTGAGCAGGATCAACCAAGATTATCTCATAGTACTTATATGTAGAATCCTGCAAGGACAGACAAAGATATACAGCATCACTATCTGGAAAATTTATTCATATCAAACAATAACAAAATCTCACAACTTGGCCCTAGATGAAAGATAATTGGTTCTCTTTATCTACATCTCTCAATAAGAGAAACTGAAAGCAAAGTTTTTTTTTTTTTTTAAAAAAAAAAGCAGTTGCAAACACATTACAAATTTTGATTAATTGAAGCCACATTGGTTGCACAAATTTTGTTTTATAACAAACCTCATTGATCCAATAGGAGTTCAGAACCCTAAGACCACCCAATTTCCTACCAGCACGTTCCTCAGCAACAGAACGCTTGCTCCTTTGGAATTTCAGTTGGGTAACACCCTGATTTGTGGGTTTCCCATACACAATACCCTTGGGAACTGGCCTCTTACGTCCACCACGCCTTACACGCACACGATAAATCACATAACCCTGTAAAGAGTGTCAACAAAGCCAAAGTCCATAACTCCAATAACTGGTCACTTAGAGCAACAAAAACTATGAGGAACAAACAACACTCTGTTCTTGTTTATAGAACTGAAACAATGTACATTGGAGCAATCAAAACCGAATACAGCAACAAGACTAAATCCCACAAAGGCAAATTACATCACAAACTCCAAGCAATACCACTCCAGTCTAAATTCACGGAGCAGTTGTTCAAACTTTTGCATTGTCCAATAGCAGTAGTAAGTTAAAAAAGAAAACAAGAAGTCTCCATTTAGTACAATGTTTTATAGTTCTAGATTAATATGTACTCATACACCAAAGGGGATTCCAAATAGAGACTTAGCCTCTATTTGGGTTTCAAAAAGTTTCTACCTTTTACTTTTCAAATTCCCATGCATTTATGCAATTTTTCCATCATGAAAATACATAAGAGGTGTTCTTGTAGGATAATCAAACACAAACAAAAATAATTTTCTAAAAAGACTAAAAATAATATCTAAAAATTTTTAAACTCCATTAATTGACATTTGTGTTATTCATAATTGACTTAGACACTTTTGCAATGAAACATATTAATTAAAAAATAAAAACTGAAACTACTTTTTTACACATTATTAACTTATGATCTTTCTCCTTGTAAAACACTATTTGATCCATTCATTTTAGAGTGGTAATCCACAAACTACAACCACATTGATAAATATCATGACAGATTAAGTTTATGTGCCATGTGATAATGTAAATGTCAGGACTCGAATCAAAGTTAGTTCCATAATAACCTTCAAATCAAATTACCTGCTTGGCCTTGTAGCCC